ACAGAAAAAGAAATAAAAAGTTTTCTAGGCTTGACAGGATTCTATAGGAAAATGATACCTAACTATGCAAAAATAGCTTCACCTATGACAAGATGCCTACGTAAGGAAGAAACTGAAATAAACCCTGATTCCTACCGTGAAGCATTTGAACAACTAAACACCTTAGTATGTAGTAGTCCCATAATTCAAGTACCCAGCTTTGAAGAAGATTTCTACTTAACAACTGACGCCAGTAATTACGCCATAGGAGCGGTACTTGCTCAAAAGAAAAATGGTAAAGAATTACCAATTTGTTTTGCATCTAGAACACTAAATAAAGCCGAACAAAATTATTCTACAACAGAAAAAGAGTGCCTAGCAATAATTTGGGCATGTAACCATTTTAGGCCTTATCTATACGGCAGAAAATTTTTTATTTACACTGACCATACGCCACTCGAATATCTAAAGACTTGCAAAACACAAAACGCCCGTCTTATCAGGTGGAAACTGCTGCTAGAAGACTACGAATATGATATCAAGCACATCGAGGGTAAAGCGAACAAGGTTGCTGACCACTTGTCGCGACATCCAGTTGACAAGCATGTTTCAGAGACACCCGAGTTCGACATGTATCATATCGCAGAAGAGGATGACTCATCTCTAGATACCCAACACTCTGCCGAGTCTTCAGATAATAGGATCCTTATCGTCGACGATGGTCAAAGACCTGTCAACGTAGAGAAAAATCAATTAGTCATCATGAAGGGATTTAATGAGGCTAAGATAGAAAAAGTATTTAATAAAAATAGAATTATTTTAGAACTAACTTATCCATATAACCAAAACGCAGAACAACTAGAACAGAAGTTATTGGAAATACTAAAACCCAATACAACTTATGGCGTTTATTGTCTTCCCAAAATCCAAGGAATTGAGAGTGAGACTAACTGGTACGAAGGATTGTATAATAAAGTCACAGACATTATCAGAGAAAAATTTCCGACCAATAGAATAAAGAAATACTCTTTATTATTACCAGACATAACTGACAAAACCCAACAAAAAGAATTGATTTTAGATCAGCATATCGGAAAATCATGCCACCGAGGAATAAATGAAACATATTTAAAATTGAAAACAAAATAATATTGCCCAAAAATGAAAGACCATATCACCGATATCATTAATGCTTGTGATACATGTAATTCAATTAAATATGACAGCCGACCTATTAGACCTAAATTTATGATTACACCAACACCTGAAAAACCTTTCGATTCAATCATGATGGACACTCTCCATATGAGAAATTATTACGTTTATATAATAGCGGACACCTTCTCAAAAAAGATATTCACAAGATATAGCGAGACAGCAAACGCTATTGAATCAATGGCAACACTGAGGAAATATTTGGTCCATTTCCCAAAACCATTAGTAATCACGACAGATAATGGCCGTGAATACGACAATAATTTATTTAGAGACTTTTTAAAATATTTAAAAATTGAAAAACATGAGACAACACCTAATCATCCAAATTCGTTAGGATTACTTAATAGAGCAAGCTCAACGTTTATAGACTTAATCAAAATAATAAATACTCAATCCACCGCGCCTGAAGAAGAAAAATTAGAACTAGCAACAATCGCGTATAACAATTCAATGAACCAAGACTTAAAATTAAGTCCGAACGAAATAACATTTGGAATCGGTAGAGACAACTACAACGAAAATCCAGAAGTTCAGGAATATTTGGTTCAAGAATATCATGAAAAACTTAGAAACACCAGAGAAGCTATAAAAGCAAACATAGAAAAAAATAAAGAAAGATATATAAACAAAAGAAACGAAACTAGAGAAGATATCCCTAAATTACCAGAAGAAGTTTTTATTAGAAAACCCAGTTCCAATAAAAAAGATCCAAAATATCAAAAAGGTAAACAATCTAATGGCAAATTTGAAACCGCTAAGGGTAAAAAGAAAAAATTACATGCAAGCCAAATAAAAAGGCCCAGGAAAAAGAAAAACGATTCAGGAAAACCTACTACCATTCAAGGCACAAATCAGAATGAGTGTCTAGCAGATAATGTGTACGCACAAAAATTAAATGAAGAAATCGAAAAACGAATTCAGGATTTGAGGGTTAATCCCAATAATCTTCCTGTTGCAGATTTTGAAGATGAAGGACTGTTTCAAGTTTCTTCTGATCTTAATTCTTCTGGCTCGGACCCTCCAGGTAGAAACGTTGAAAATCCAGACGCTGTCGAATGGCCCTGGGGCTTCGATCATTCAAATGAATTCGTCGTATGTGATGACGGAATGGTACACTTTCCTACATTACAAGAATCTATCTCAACTAAATGATGAAATCACAACAATAAAAACACATATTAATAGTTTGAAGACAGAAAAAGAATTTAAAATGCTGCATCAAATATTAGATAAGAGGTATGAGAGAATAACAAACCAAATCACCCACCTTATTAAGCGTAAATTTATAAAAAGAGAAAAACGTGGTATAATTAATGGTTTAGGATCTGCTCTCAGTTGGTTAACGGGAACTATGGATGCAGATGACAAAGAAAAATATGACACCATCCTACAAAAGGTTGAAAGTAATTTATATCACATAGAACATAACGAGGAAGCTAGGCTTAGCCTCAACCGGAAATTAACACAAGAATTAAATAAAGATATTATCATTTTAAATAACTTCAAAAATAATATAGAAACCAATAATAAAGTATTAGATTCCACAATCATCAAATTATCATATCATGACCTTTTAGCATATTTAACTCTCATAGAAGCACAATTACAAGAAACAGAAGACGCATTAGAACAATGTAAACTAGGCATGACACACCCCAGCATTTTATCGTATGACGAAATTAAAAATATCAAAACTCCATATAAAAATTTACTAACAAGAGACGTAGAATTAAATTGGTTATTAAGTAAAGCAATTTGTTCAATGTCCGATTCGGGAATGATTTATTTCTTTATTAAATTACCACTAAGGGTTGCCCCTTCGACTACATATTACATACTGTCATATCCCATTATTTATAAGGAAAACATTGTAACTATTCCAGTTGAAAATACTTTAGTTATAAGAAATAATAACCAGTTTTATAAGGGAAAATGTTTAAAATATAATTCTAACTTTTATTGTAATTACAAAAGTCTTAGTTTAGTAGAAGATAAGTGTATATTAGAATTAAGTAACAACCAAAAATTAGAACATTGTAAAATAATAGGAATTTCACAAAAACCATTTATTAAACTTATACCTAGCCTTAATCAATATCTCACTTTTAATTTATCTACTATTGAAACTAACATAACAGAAACCATGTTATATCATTTACCAATCACTGGTTTAATAAGCCTTGACAGAAATGAAATATTTGTAAATAAATCTATAGTTATTCGATACGAAGAACATGTAAATATACCCATAATATCTATGCATAATATTGATACTGTAATTTTTACTAATTATAGCTACGATGATGAACTCTAAATATAGAACCTTTAGAAGATTATTCTGTAATTACTCATTCTGACATTATGTTATATCTTACTTTGATAATATGTATATACCTGTTTATTCACCATATATTATTTTATTATTATAAATTTAAAAACATTTTTAAAAATAAGACTAACAACCCCACACCTCTAACAAACATTGTAACTCCTGATCACCCACCTATCAGCAATCCCATCAAGCTATCATCCTTTTGCGACGCCAGGTCTAGAGCGTGGCATTCCTACCTTACCGAAAAACAAGCATCCTAGTTCGGAGGACCTCACTTTTTAAGGGGGGAATAGTTATGGAAACGAACTATGCTGACTTGACATTCTGAGCAGCCTCCCTCTCCTCTACCTATATATACCCCCATAAAATCCTAGGCTAGTCAGTAAGCAAGAGATCTGTATCAGTAGTACTTAGCATGTCATAATGTTCATTGTTTGATTTGTTTTCTCAATAAAGTTTTTTTTCACTTTTCGACGGTTGAGTTTCATAATTCAGTAGCGTACCCTAAATTGCCAGATTTACAAATTCCTCAATTTTTCCGGTCAGTACGAACAATTGCCCTAATTTAAATCATTATTTGATGCTTTAATTCACCATCGAAATTATACAGATATAGTAAAGTTTTCATACCTCAAATCGCTTTTAGTTCATCCTGCTTCACAGACCATTTCTTCAATTGAGTTTAACTCAGAAAATTACAGCTTGGCCTATGATAAATTAGTAAAACGCTTCAGTAATAAAAGGATCATTGCGGCCTACCATCTTAACAACATTATACGGTTTAAATCATTTTCTGTTGATAATTCTTCCAACTTTAGAAGCTTTCTGGATACATTTGAGGATAATTACAATGCCCTAAAAAATTTTAAACTCCACAAGCTCGCTGATTTTATTTTGATGCATCTTGGACTGAACGTTGTAGACCCGAATACAAGAAGAATGTTTGAGAATAGTCTCAGCGAAGATACAGTTCCTAACATTGAAGAATTTTGCAAGTTTGTTAGGCCACAACTTACAGTCGCAGAAATGTATTCCAAGCCTTCTACATCCGAAAGCACCCAGCCTAAAGTTCAGCGAAAAAAACATTATTAACAAGCAATAGACTGGATAAGCAGAAATTTAAGTTAAAATGCCCAGTCTGTAAATTGAGCCATTAAATTATAAATTGCCTCAGTTTCTAGATGCCGATGTTAATGGTCGCTATGACCTGCTAAAGAAGTCTGATTTATGCCTTTCTTGTACGGGACCTCATCGCTTGCCAAATTGCCAAAGTAAAAGCTGTTGCCAAGTTTGTGGCAAAAATAGTCACCATACGATGTTACATAAGGCTGCAAACACTGAGCCATCACAGTCTCAAGTAACAAACAATGCTCGTGCAGTTTCGTGCCATGCTACCACCAACTCACAGGTACTTCTGGGTACTGCGTTAGATAGAATTTGTTCAAGTTCAGGCCAGCGGTATTAATGCAGAATGGTGATAGATCCAGGTTCACAAATTAATTTAATTACCACTGATCTAGTGAAGAAGTTGCGCCTTCGTTCCCGGGTTAGTCCTCTTGTGGTGTCTGGAGTAGGTAATATCTCCATGTCTTCATCTTCTCCTGAGGTTAAAATGAAGTTGGGTTCAACGAGAAATAGAAATATATACGAGTTTTCAGCCAGGGTATTGCCTTGCGTAAGTGGAAGTTTGCCTTTGTTTGCCGTGTCCCAAGAAGTACGGAATAAATTTGCGTCAATAGAACTAGCAGACCCTCAATTTTATACGCCAGGAAAAGTTGATTTGCTTATGGGTGCTGTGGTGTACGGTGAGATTTTAAATGACCCTGTTTTATTTCTTAAGGGTCAACCGAAAGCCATTCATACCTCATTAGGATGGGTATTATTTGGGGAAGTATTATCCTCTTGGAATGCCGAAGATATACCTATACCTACCCTATACCTTCAATACGCACTTTTTTCACTCAGACCAGCCCTTACTTACATGAGGAATTAAAGCGATTTAGGGAGACTGAGGAAGTCACAGTTTCGAATCCGCCGAATCCTGAAGATGTATTTTGCGAAGATCACTTTATAATTACATGCACTCGTGATCTCCAAGGTAGATTCGTTGTTTCACTTCCGTTCCGTTCTGACCAGCCGTTTAGTCTTGATTCCACTAGATAGATAGCTCTACGCAGATTTAGGAATCTGGAAAATAGATTTAGGATTCAAAATTTAGATTTTGAAATGGAAGCTGTGAAAGGTGCTGGTAATATGGGCCGGGGGAAAGACATTGCCAACATTGTCGAGGTGGAAAAGAAAGCGTCCCAGACAGACGAGACTGCTAACGTCGAAGAAGAACCAAAACCTGAGGATGAAGAACAAGGCGAAAATTGGAGGCCACCAGTTGTTCCGAAAAACACACCATCCTATCTTTGAGAAAAAAGCCAAAGAAATTAACCGATTTAGACAAACGCATTGTAGACGATGCCGATTTGGACGAAGACTTTAAAGGCAGCAGCGAGGAAGAAGAATTTTTAACTACTGAACCTGGCGATGGCGACGATTTTATGGGAAGGAGGCAATCTGTGAGGTGGTCATCGAGAGCGAGGATATTAAGGATAGATAAAGAGTTTATAAATGACGATTCCGAATGAGGAAAATGAATCTGAGGAAGTTGAGCCTGTAGAAGAAGTCCAAGAAGTTGAAGGAGCTTTTTCAATTTGTTAAGGGCCAGTGCGAAACCATTTCTAACGATTTAAGTTGGACGGGTATAAAATGGACCTTTACTCCTCCAGCGTCACCTCATTTAGGTGGTATTTGGGAGGGAAATATTAAATCCGCTAAGAGACACCTTCTTGCCGTTCTCCAGGATCATGCGTTGACATATGAGAAATAGTATACTCTTCTGCCGTTCTTCGCCGTTCCAATTCCCTTCCTATCTGCAACATTAGCAGTTAGCCATCGGATAACCTGGATTGCCTCACCCCAGGACACTGTCTTATAGATTAACCCATCCTAGCCAGACCAGAACAAGAAGACACACCTGTGTTTCCTTCACACGAGGATGTGACCCCACAACATTTTCAATATTAATTTACTTTTATATAAGTAGCTCTGTAGCCAAGATTTTCATGTAAATAAACTCAAACATAACCAGGCTAATTACATTCATTAGCACTCCATTTTTGGGCTTATATTATTATTGGAAGTTATCGAAAATCATTATGGAAAATCCCTCACCCCAGTGTGTTGTTTACGTGATTCTCCTGGTTGACTCACATCCCAGTGTGCTGTCTATGCAATTGTATCCCAGTTTTTTCTTTGTTATTTTGAAACTTCGAATAATTCAGGTGTGGATTTCTAATGTTATATTTGTTAATTAGTGTTATTTTCAATTCAGACAGTTATAAATAGAAATTATGTTTTTAGTTCGGCAACTGCCAAAAACATGTATTCTTATCTTGAAGAAACCCATAGATTGTTACGGGAATTAAAATATGATCAAAAGATGCATGGAGCATATTAAATAAAGATCGCGCAGTAACGTTTGATCAAATGTGTCATGTGTGTTAACATTAAGAAAAAAAAGGAGGCTGTCTTTCCGGGTTTTTTATTGAAATGTTGAAGCATGCTGGTTTATGCAGCATGATATTGTTCAGGTTAGTTGACTGGGAAAAGAAGATGAAATGGAGATTATTTATTTGGATTAGGCTATTCGTTACTTCAGCCCTGTTTGAAAAGAAGACAGCAAGTGCAGTGGAGACAAACACGAACGGTGTGTTACAACTTTAAAGGAATTTTGGGAATTAAAAAATAAACGACTACTGTTGGAAAAATAAGCGAAATATTTGTTTTGCACTATAGAGAAAGATATGAAAACAAAAATAGTTTGCCAGCAATGTCAGAGACCTATCTACAATGAACAGCGGGCGACAGTTTGCTTGGATTGTTGTGTGTGAGTGGTCACATAAATGGCCCCCACTATAGGTTTTATCATCTTTTTAAGTAAAAAAATATGTTTTTCCTTTATTATGTATATATTTTACATTCTAAATATATATATTTAATTGATATATACTTAATGTATTTTCAATAGAAAAATATTGATACTTTTTCAATTTTTAAGTGATGTAAATGTTAACTTGTTACTTTATGTTAACATATAAAATATATCCTCTTAGATTTCCTTGTATTTATTTATTTTTTTGTTTTCCTGATTATTTAGCTTATTTCTGAAAAGTATTTGGGTCTTCCAGAGCAGGATGATTAAATTTTATGATGATTTCAATTTTGAGGAGCACCACACCCGATAGTTTCAGAATGACTTTAAATGTGTCGTTCTAGGGATAATATTAGATAATGAATGAAATAAAATAAATGTATATTGTCGAATGGTTAGGAACTATCTGATTGTTTTGGGATAGGAATTGGAATTGGAAGGTTTCGAATGTGGATATGGAGGGGAAATAACGAATTCTGATAGCAATAAATTTGAGAGTGAGCAATAAAGGAGACAGATCTGTGAGAGAAGTAAAAGTCAGAAGGTATAGATTTTGTAGAAAGGGAATGGACTGAGGACTTGAATTGAAATGGAGGACTGGTAGTCGAAAGAAGGACGATGATTGTTGAATAATTGTTGAAAGAAGGAAATATTGTCTTCGGAAGGAGGGCCCTTAACTCAGTGTAGTGGAGAGAGCCATGGGAGTATCTCGGGGCTTCAATTACAAATCTTACGCAGCTGTTCATTATTCTTTTCAGTCTATCATAGAGCTCCACAGAGAGGCCCTCGTACACCATACAGCTGTAGTCAAAGTGAGGGAAGATGAGAGAGGAAACTAGGAGTTTACGTGCATGTTGATGTAGGAGGTTCTAAACATTATAGTTAGTACTGCCTATAGTAAAGCAGTGCAACATAAAATCACCGGAATGGTCTCAAACATTTTAAAATACATTAAAGGAAGTGTTAATACAAGGCTCCTACTTATAAATATGTTAGAAGACCCATCTCTACAACTCTTTGTGGACGCCGAATAGGGAAGCATCATCTCAAGAAAATTCACCGCTGGTTTTGTATTTCAAATATTCGAATTCTCTGTTTCATGGACTACAAGAAAATAGGATATCATGGCACTCTCGTCAGTAGAAGGCGAATTTGTATCTCTAGCAGCCGCAACGGTTTACGAAAACAATCAGTCTGCAATAAAATGACTCCATCGATGGGAAGATGGAAACATATAGACACTAAATATTATTTTGTACGCGATTTATTTGCTAATCCAGTCATTAATGTCCAATACGTACCAAAAAGTGAATAATTTGATATGATATGTTCATTGATGGACTAAGGATAGTATACACAATCATTCCTCTAACTCTGAAATGACAAAAATTGAACTATTAGGGTCACATAGACAAGGAAAAATCTGGAGGGAAAAAAATGAAGCTCTAAAAACAAAAAAATATACAACCTACGGTGAAACACGGGGCTTTTACAGTTTGCCAAAATTGGTCAATCCTCCTCCTAAATCTCCCGACGTAAACGCCATTAAGCTCCTGTGGAATCATTTAAAACAACAAATTACGAAAAGTTGACAAACTTCCAATGAAGAACTTTAGAAGCGTATCCTCGTAGAGTGGTCCAACATACCAACTTATGTGACCTCAAAACTAGTTTCTTCTATGACCATTAGGCACAGGGAGGTAATAAAAGCTAAAGGCAATCCCTTATTTCTCTATTCTAAATATTTATTATTTCTTTATTCTAAAATCAATATCAAATTCGTTAATGACTTTTAAAGAATATGTCCAAAATTTTTGTTACTGTTTTTCTTTGGTTTTTGTTTTGTCACTATCGTTGATTATATGAAAAATTAAATAAAATTATGTTAGATAAAGATGTTATGGATGAAAGTACTAAATGTTATTACTTGTTTTATTGGTTATAAACCAAACGAGTAAGAATTGCAACTTTTTGTTTGCTAGGTTTGAGAGTGTTTAGAAACCTTTGTTACTGACTGTAGCTGAAAGGATTCTTCATTGAGTTTCATAAAAGTATCATTTTTTGACGGAATGTTTAAGTTGAGTTAATGGAATGATTATGCTTCCCACCCTAAGTGTCGACAATTTTTGCGGTCAAAATTGGTTTCAAAATGAGGGAGGTGTTAATGCTGCACAATTCTACACCATAATATCGATTATTTCACCTGGCAACACAAGAGATTATATAGTTAGTGTATAAAATTATTACTTACTTTCTTTTGTACTATTTGCTTGTGCCTACTTTAATATATCCTGTTTTTAAATATTTGCGTTGTTTTTTTCTGACGCCACCGCAAAATTTAAATAGATATAAATTTGCCATAGAATGTTACAAATAATTTAACAATCTGTCTCGGAAGTTGTGATAAGTGAATTTTAACTATAAAGAAAAACAATAATTGTTAGCAACAGTTTTATACAATATTTGATTAAACAATATTATAATATAATATTGCAATTATCAACGGAATCTGCCCAATTAATTGATACTCATTCAAAAGATTGAAATGAATGAATCGCTAGTGATTGCTTTGACAGGGTGGTTGCCATAGCAAAAGTTGTTTCCAACCTCGGGCGCGAAGGTGTTCATCGACCATGAATGGGGTAACAAGAACTGAAGCAGTCCAGCCTCGCCCGCGTTTATCAGTCAAAGGTAAAATCAACCAACCTTTGGGGGTCTAATTTTTTCTCCTTTTAATATACATGGTATAGGGAAAACGAGTGTACAATTTATCTAATTAAATATTTTGTCAATTGTCTTCTATTATTTTTAGAACCTACACCAATAGAGTCTAACAACTGGCTCATACATACAAGGTATGTTCGAAAGGAATTTGAAATATGCAAACTAATAATAGAAGAAGATTTATTGAAAACCAAAGGTTGCAATGAATATGCAATTTACATTCTGGTATGTTTCAATATTTTAATTAATTACATGGTGATTTATCATAGATTCTCAAATTTTTAGGAACCGTATCTATGTTTTTATAGATTGTATCTAGGGTAAAGGCACTAGTAGCTGACATGCAAGGAAATTTTCTTGAACTTTTACCTGTAAAAACTGAAATATTGATGTTATCATATTTTTCTTGGATTCATCTTATAGAAATATTTCTCACTTTACCAAGACATATTTTAAACCCATGAAACATTTAACTTAATTTTAAAAATTTAAAATTAAAAGAATAGTTTTGTTGCACCAGTAGTTTGATTTGAAATGTTCCTATAGCTGACAGAGATGAGAAAAAGGACGTAATTAAGGGAAATTTCATATTCTTCTCTTTAATATTTACAAAAATTACCTTAATTTATTATAAAGCTAACTTCTTGCGTTTCCCGACTTAAATTTATCAATAAATGCTAGTCACTGTCAAGAATATGTTTTTAGTAATTGG